GAGGCATTTTATAGCATTTTAAGATTCAGAGTTCTAGTAAGAAGTTCTTTCTGTTAAACAAAGCTGGATGGGTGGATGGTTGGACGGATAGATGGACAAATGGATAGAGAGGAAAGGAAGACTGGAGGGACATGTGGAAAGCTAACAGTTAATTTTGGGGTGGTGGGATTGTAGATGCTTTTTTGGTCTACGTTCATCTGTCTTTTCTAAATTTTTCTGTAATTATTGAAAGTGTGAAGCAAGAAGTGGCCTGAAATAAGCCTGGAAAGGTAGACAGGGCAAAATCATGGACTGTGTGTCAGTTGTTACTGTTCTTCATTGTGTATATACTTGCATTTCTCTTCTTTCTTGGCATATGGAAGTTTATATCTTCATGATGCTCAGCACAGCCACAAGACTTGCTCTTTCCCTGACAGCATAGGGTGAAACATCTGTCACCGCTGAGCGGAAGCCTGTGAGGTCTCGTGCACCATTTGCCACATTCTCTTCCCCAGTCTGTAGAGGCTGGTGATGTAACAGAAGGTGGCCCCTCTGTCTGCCTGGGCCTCTGGCTCATCACGATGAACCTGCCGCACTGACCTGGGATGGACATGAGGTGTGAGCCAGTAATCATCCTTGGTTGTTTAAAGACATTGAGGTTTGGGGGCTGTTCCTTGCTGAAGCTCATCTTGGTTGATACAGAGGCACTTGTAGCTTGGCCATTCCAAGCTACAAAAGCATTTCAAGCCAAGACTTTGTATATGTGTTTGTTTTGCCAACCCAGAGAGCATACTTGGGCCAAACAAGGCCTGACCTCATGTTCTGGACGGCATATGCTAATTTACCTCCTTGATAAAAAACTCAGTGGTTCTTTTTTTTTTAAATTAAAGTATAGTCAGTTTATAATGTTTTGTCCATTTCTGATGTACAGCACAATGCTTCAGTCATACATGAACATACATATATTCGTTTTCATATTCTTTTTCACCATAAGCTGCTACAAGATATTGAATATAGTTCCCTGTACTATAAACATAAACTTGTTTATCTGTTTTATGTATACCAGTCAGTATCTGCAAATCTCGAACTCCCAGTTTATCCCTTCCCACCCCCTTCCCCCCTGGTAACGATAAGTTTGTTTTCTATGTTTGTGAGTCTGTTTCTGTTTTATAAATAAGTTCATTTGGTTTTTTTTTTTTAGATTCCACATGAGTGATATCATATAGTATTTTTCTTTCTCTTTCTGGCTTCACTTAGAATGACATTCTCCAGGGCCATCCATATTACTGCAAATGGCATTATTTTGTTATTTTTTATGGCTGAGTAGTATTCTATTGTATATGTACACCACAACTTCTTTCTTTATCCAGTCATCTGTTGATGGACATTCAGGTTGTTTCCATGCCTTGGCTATTGTAAATAGTGGTGCTATGAACATTGGGATACAGGTGTCTTTTTGAATTAAGGTTCCCTCTTGATATATGCTCAGGAGTGGGATTGTTGGATCATATTGCAAGCCTATTTTTAGTCAAAAGCTCAGTGGTTCTTTAGTGGTGATGAAATCTTGTATCTTGAATGTGGTGGCTGTTACATGAATTCTTTTCATGTGATAAAATGACATGGAACTGTACACACAGATATCCCAGATACAAGAAACTGAGGGCACCCTGAAAGTGGCAAAATCCAAGTAACGTCTGTGGTCTAATAAACTGTATGGTGACAATGTTGGTTTTCTGGCTTGATAATATTCTGTCCTGGGATGAGCTGTCACTGTCCGAGGATGCTGGAAGATGGGCATGGGGCACTCTCAGTACTGTTTTTGTCAGTTCTTATGAATCTATAACTAGTTTCAAATGAAAGTTAACAACAAGAAGGGAAGGTTCACGAGTTCAAACAAAAAAGTCAGTTGTGGTCAGTCCCAGGTTCACACTCAGACTCGGCGGGGAAGCTCACACCGGCAGAAGGGGCCTGTTGCCTTCTCTTAGCAATCAGTGGTTTATCCTTCAAAAATGCTTTCTGTTTGTAGTCCGTCAGCCACGGCCTTCTTGTGCGGAACGTGTCCCGTGATTAACATTCCTGTAACGGTGCTGAGTCTGTTAGACAGTCAGACGAGCAAACCCCTCAACACACACACATACACACACACGCACACATACGCGCATTCTCATTCTGAAAGTGGGGCTTTTCCTTCACTGGTCTGAACTGCGCTGCACACAGTGCACACATTTCTCAGGGCCAGCAGCAGAAACAGGAAACCTGATACCGAGGGCAGGAGAATTACCTGAGTAATTGTGTGTGGACTTGAATCACTGTCCCCAGGAGCCCAGTAACCCACAGCCTGTGGATTAGTCTGTTGAACTACTTGATGGCTTGTGACCCCTCGTTCCCCCTGGATGTGTATGTTCTGGTTTTGTTCTTATTGGTGGTGGCAGCTCTGTGCTTTATCTTCAGGTGAAGGGGGAGGACCAAAAGGCAGCTTACCAAGTGTAAACTACCTGTGGAAGAATGGGCTGGCCCACTTGGCCGTGCCATCGATTTCACTGGAATTACTACTGTGGGGTCAGCATCTGGGAATGTTCTCCCTGTCTTGTGGGGGAGTGTGTACACGCATTTTTGCATTTTTGTCATGTATATGCTGCATATCCCTTGGGATTTCCATCGGGGGCTTGGCTGAGAGCAGCAATGTCTTTACTACCCCTTCCTTAACAGAATGAGTGTCTGACATCCCTTCTGGTTACATTCAGAGTTCTGTACAATTCTGTGTTGGCAGTGAGTGTCTTGCTCTGAGCGAAGTGAGGCTGGGGCCAGAGGAGCTGGTAGAGGGTGAAAGGCCCCTGTATTTGCTAATTGTGAACATCAGATCAGGTAGTTGAGCATTTATGAGGCATAAGAATCTATGGGGAGTAAAAGTTTGCCATTGACAGGCATCCTGCTCCAAAGAGACTTTTTACCTGTAGATATATATCGGTCACTCAGATGGGATGCAAGTGGAGTTTTGCTCCTCGTTGGAGGCCCAAGCTCCCTACACAGGGCACAGCATCACTCAAGTGCACCCACTTCTTCCTGGTAACAGTTTCCATCTCTATAGGATGAGGGGCATGGCCTTCCCTTACTGCGGACCCTTCAGCTCTGGTACTCCCTGCTCTTAGGAAGCGCTAATGACGCTCGTATGTGGGCACTTTCCCACTTTCCCGGATCAGGTTCAACGCATCTCCTCCTCCTTCCAAAATCTGCAGGTTGGTGCACCTGACTCTGTTATCTGAGGAATTTAAATCTATTCTGGCAAAATTGCCTTTGCCGCTGATAGGCTGTTGGGGTCTCGGGAGATCATTTAATCATTTTCCACCTTCTCCCTAAAACTGGGCTCTGTTAGCAGACAGGAGCTGCATGCTCCAGGACCCGCCGTGATCTGGTTCAGCATGGTCTTCAGGGAGGACCCTTACTTGTCATGAACGTTACTTCATCCACCAGGCTGCACTGTAGGCCACCCCAGCAACAGTTTTTTGCAGAGTGGCCTCAGAGAAAGAATTTGTCACAAGGGGCTTCTCACCTCCTTCTGTTAACTTGGCGAAATAGCTTTACTCTTCCAGGCAGGATGGCAAGTGCTTTACATTTAACCTCACAACTCTGTGAGTCGGTAATTAATATTTACCTTTTGCAGATGAGGAAACTGAGGCTCAGAAATATTAAAGGGCCCAAAGTCAGGGTGCTTTCTGGCTGCCTCGGCCTGGTGTTGATTGTTCAAGGCCTGGGACTCGGGTTAGAGCCCACGAAAACTGCCGCAGACACACTAAGCCCCTCAGCACAGTTTGCATCCATCCCTGAGTCAGACAGCTCTGGTGGAGGGTGTCCTCAGCAGTGCCGTTTGCACCCCCCTTCCCAGCAGTAGAGTATCATATTATTCTCCATAGGCTTACTTGAACATCACAGTCTAGACAAGAATTCCCAAGCTAACCATCTATTTTACGGGACTCTGCTTACCTGTACAGGCAGGTGGCCTGTCATTCTGGGCTGTGTGTCCTTTGGAGGAGAGAGGTTTAAGAGGTAATAGTATTTCAAGTCACATCCCATAGTCCAGCCAGACTTAAAAATTGGGAGGTCCCCGTCAACACAGGGCATGTCTGAAAGGCAACCCTGCTCTCTGCAGAACTGTGCGAGGAGGCTGAGCAGTGGAACAGGGCTGCTTCAGATCCTGACCACCCCGGTCCTTCTGGTGTCTCTCCAGGAGGGAGCTTGAGTTTCGATGTCAGATTGACTTGAGGTCTTCCTGCCCCCACTTCTTAGCTCTGTGATCTCTTGTAAGATGCCTCGTTGTAAAATACGAAAAATACACCCATCCTTCAGGTGTCCTGAAGATGAAATGAGATCTTGCCTTAAGTGCCCACCCACTTTTCTGCTCAGAATACACCGTGGTCATTATTAGTATCATTATTGGCTATCCATGTGTGCCCCACCCGTCTGTAGAGTTCACACAATTACTAAACCCCAGGGGTCTCTAAACCCAGAGTTTTCTGGGTTCTAAACCAGGGGGATGTAGATCGCTCAGACTCCATTGCTATAAATGAGTTTTGCCTGCTTTTGTACTTTCTATAAACAAATTGCCTTTCATTTTTGATGCAGGCTTGGTGGAATCATTTCAGAGCCCAAATGGCAGCTTTTGAGATTAAACTGTGGTCTCCTGAGTTCTCGCAGGAACCAGGCCTTGTCCTGGTGTTCCCCTATCGTTACGGTTTTTTTTCGGACGCAGATCGAGAAGAGATATGTGAGCCCGAAGACCCTTTGGAGCCTGTTCCGTGCGCGGAGTCCAACTGCACAACCCCCAGTCCCAGGCTCACATCCTCCCTCAACTTGGCAGTAAAAAGCCCTGTTCTTCCATTCATTCCAATGATTTATATTCTCTCTGGGCGTCTAATATTAAACAGGGGAATTCCGACATGTTCCATAACACATTTGCTGTAACTTGATACCATGAACTAAACTTGCTGTTATTTATCATTTCTTTTTATTTTCTCTCATTCCAGCATAAAGCCAAGGTAGAAGCAATGACCCTGGACCTCGCTGTGCTCCGTAGCGTGCAGCATTTTGCTCAAGCATTCAAGGCCAAGAATGTGTGAGTGTTCCAGCGGAGGGTTATAGATCATAATATCTTGCTATTGTAATGTCTTTATCAGATGAACACAACTGGGAGGACGGAAGGCTATTGTGTTGTCTTGGCGTCCAAACAGGAGGCTCATTTATATTGGCCCCGTTAAGGTGTACCATATTTTCTTGACTCTGAGTCACCCTCATTATGAGATGTGTCATCAATCTCGTAACAGCTTCCCAGATAAAAAGAAGATACTATTAAGCACTAGTAAGAGTGGCTCATAAAAATCAGCCGATTGTAAGCTAGATCCTGAGTACAGACATTTTTGCAGCGCCTCTCAGAATCGAGGAAAAGTCTACTTTAATTGTATTCAGGAACAAGTAACATCAGCTCCCCGGTCCTGCCAGGGCGCCAAAAATCAGAGCACGAGAAGGTTTCACTCTTTTGCAAAACTGCAATGATCTTATGTGGTGCATGAACTTGACTCCAAAAGTGCGGTCTCACATCGTGAGAAACTTCCTCCTCTTTTTTCCATTCTTTCTCAGACTTTGAAAATGCCTGAAGGAGGAAGCCTTTGCTTGGGGCTGGTAGATTTTTATGCCATCATAATGTCAGGCTCCCTTTCTGACACAGACAAGAGAGCAGCCCTCAAACCCAAAGCCGAGAAAAGCAGTGGTTGTTAGTTTCATTTTCATTATACTGTTTTGTTTCCAAGTGTTTATTTTTACAGCTCCCTCATATTTTTTAGGGCAAGCAATCCTGGTTTCTTGTTTAATGTAGTGGTTTAGGTTTCTTTAACAAATAACTTGATTTAATTTTTTTCAGTGAGTTGATTTAAACACAAGGATTAAGTTAATAATAGGACAGGTGGTGCCAAGGATAAAATAGTTCCCAAAATGGCACCAGAATGACTGAATTTAGGAAGCCTGATAAATGACAAGCTGTCTTGGGGTTCGCCCCTGTTGGGATCGTTGGTTTCACAGTTCTCCAAGCGAATGGTGCACGTGAGGGGGGAGGGTATCTTAAGCCACATGTTCAGATGGTACTGGGTAGACTGGACATCTCATTGGCTGCCCATTATTCAGTTCTTTTTCTGTCTCCCTTAGTTTCTCACTCTGTTCCTTGAGAATGTTGAGAAATCTGCTCTCTGAAGCCCTTTCTGGAGCAAGTATGTGGCCTGAGTCCTTGAGGCTGAAAGACTGAGTCACAGTCTTTAGTGGGAGCTGCACCATCCCCTTAAGTGCAGGCCCTGCGCTCCTGGCAACGGTTGGGTACTGTCCCCAGCCAGCCAGCAGACCTAGGCAAGCCCTACTGCATGTGCTCTTTGCAGTATTGGGCCCTTGCCAGAGCTCTCAGAGAACCTCGAGTCAGGATGGAGCAGTAGCTTGGAGAGATTTGCTCTTTCATCCCTTCATTACTCATTTATCCACTTGTTCATTCACTTAACACACATTTAACGTGTGCCTCCAAAGCCCCAGGCTTTCTTCTCAGCTCTGGAAGAGACTGGTGGCCAGTGGGAGCCCAGTTAACCTCACACAGGCCTTCATCTCAGCATTCAGCAAGCAGTCAGTGTTTTATAGCTGGCGACTGACTCCTCAACCCAGTATTTTTGTGGTTGTTTGGGAGAGAGTAATAATAGCAGCAGCAGTAGCAGCTCATTTATCGAGTGCTTATTACAAGCCCCACACCAAGAACCGTTTGCATGCTTTCTCTGATTTAATTCTCAAAGCGGCCCTTGCGGTCAGTGCTATAACTGTGTCTATCAAGCAGATGAGGAAAATGAGACCAGAGAGGGTGAGTTCTCAGAGGCACGTGGCCGGGAAGCAGAGGGGCTGAGGTCCTGTGTGGCCGGGCACTCCTTAGCTCCCACTTAACCAGGATGCCGCACAGCCTTTCGTTTTAAATGTGCTGGAAATTGAGAGCAGCGGAAGTGTGTGACTTTCACAGGGTCATGTGGCAGGTCGGTGGCAGTCGTAGGATTTCCATCCATCCTGATGTTTTGCTTTCTCCCCGACACCACACGGCTCTAGTGGGAGCTTCGATGTGCAGCCTGTTCACGCTTCCTCCAGTTCTAGTGTCAGACCACATTGAAGGGAGCAGTTGAGCTGAAGAGAGCCAACTGTTACATAATAGGACTGTCTTCCAAGTCTTAACAGGACCATTAGTTTTTAACCATTAAGTAGTTCAGAAATCATCAAATTGAGCTGCCTTTTGTAATCACCAAGCCCAAGCTCTTGGAGAAAAACTATCACCCGTTCTGCCCTAATCCTAGATCTCAGCAAACGACTTTGAATTTTTGTACTTCTGGGTCCAGAGACAAAGGCAGTTTCCTTTTAGCAAACCCTGTACCACACAAACCTCCTTTTACGCATCTCTCGAGAGCGCAGCGTTTTACATGGCTTAGAGAAGTATTGTGGTGGTGAAAATATGTATTAAAAAAAAGTGAGCGATTTTGCTTTTGAAATCCTGCCAAAGTGAAATCTCTCCTGGAGAGGCAGATGACAGTTCAGTACTTACAGATCTTTAAGTTCTGAGAACTGTCAGAAGAGAATTTAAGTGCCGGTGACTGGGCTGCCAGAAAAACACGTGTCACCCTCGTCTTCTCATCACCTCCCATCTCTCGACATTAAAATTTCCTAGTGTGTGAAACACAATGACAAACGAGAGGAAGGCTGCCAGTTCCAAACCCGTCCCTTTCTGTGCTGTTGGCCTGAGGAAGGGAAAAAATCCCTTCGATGTAAATTCCACGTGGATGCCCCTGTGTAATATTCCGCTCCGAAGCCTGCCTCTGAGCACGTCAGAAGTGTGTTCGGGCTCCCCTTTCCTGTGTGTATTCCCTCAGTTCCTGCCCAGCTCAAGCTGGGGTAGGGTAGACAGCCGCATGGCAGCCCAGGACCGGAAATGGTAGAGATTGATGTAAATGAAGACCCTGGTGGAGGATACAGCTCCTTGTACCTTCTCCCAGGAAGGGATATGGATTGGACCTCTACTGAGATTTCTTCTTCTTCCTCCTTTTTTTTCCTAGGGGGGTGGGTAGCGAGGAACGGAATAAGCCATTTTAGAGTGAGCACTGCTAACAATGATCATACACATAATATCTACTTATCAGCTTGTTTATTCTGTGCAGGGCAACACGCTCAGCACTCACTGATGTCTTCTCTCTTTAATTTCTTACAATAACCTCAGGCATTAGTCACCTGTATCTCTGGGACAAATCTAAAGGCTCTGGCTTTTCATAGCGAGGCTAACTCATTTTCCCAACTTTAGCAATCCGAACCCAGTTCTGTCCGAATCCAAATTGGATCTCTCTTTTTGTTACATCTCCCCTTCAGGCGTGTCCTTCAGTGTGGATTTCAGGATTGGTGTGTGTTGCTGAGTAGCCAGTTGCTCAGGAATTTAGTGGCATAAAACCAGTTAAAACAATAAGTATTTCTATTCTCTCTCTCTCTTTCAGTTTGTTGAAATCAGGAGTCAAATAAGGTCTATGCATTTTATTAACCTACAAGTTTTCCCTAAATTTTAAAATTTCTTAAAAAAATTTTTTTGATGCACTGTGTTTGTTTCAAGGGACGTGTGTCCTCTAGACTTCTCTATGGTCTGTACTTCAGTGGCTACATCCCCGTGGTGTCATTTAATGTGTTCTTTTGTCTTCTAATTTTCCTGTGAAATGGTAGCTACCTCTAGAGGCTTGGTCAAATTCCTGTTTAATTTTTTGGCAGGAATCCTTGGTAGGTGGTGGTGTGGTCTTCTGTCAAGAGGCCTGGTTGCTGAAGCCAGTTTTCTTAAGGCTCCGCACGCCCTGACCAACCCGTTCCTGCGCCCACTCTCTGTCTGCCCAGCCTCACGTTCATTTGCTCATTCTTTTCTGCTCCACTCCCTCTTCTGGGTGGTCAGCCCAGGAAGCCTCAGACTGCTTCCAGACAGTTCTCCCCAGAGTTAGTGGTGGTGGTGGTCGGCCAGTGTGTCTCAGTATCGAATTATTTTGGGCATTACTGGAAAGTTCCAAACCAAAGCCTGTGGTAAGTCCCCACCAAAGTGAGTCCTGAAGGATATTTTTGTTGAAATTGCAATCCAGTGGGGCAGGCAGGGGCACCCGTCCGAGTGTGAAGAGCTGGGACCTTTACTAAGCACTCAGACCAAGTATTGAGATTTTCTGTAATGAGCTCTACAACAATAGCGCATTGTTTGGGATACTTTGGCACAATTTTATCTCTAGTTCTAGCTGCTTAGTTTACTGAAAAGCACTAATTTTAACCGGGCCTGGAACAGGAAGTCAAGAGCTTCTAGGACTGGGAGCTCTGTAATTTTTTTTCTGTTTTTCAGATACTGTTTTATAATTTGAGTTCTTTATCCTTGAAAAAATAAACACCTGTATTCCAGTCCTGGAATTTTGAAAGTTGGAGATGGCACATAATATAGGAAATGTATTGCTTGGATCCCAGCTAACTAGTCAGCTCTTATAACGTTGACCAAGAGCTTTGATTCATCATGGAAATTCATGAAAATGATAGTAAGTTCATATTAAGATAATATATGCAATTCTAAAGATTTCTAGAACTTCATTTTTGGTCGTGGGATTTCTACTTTCTCTTCTCAACTCTCTGTCTCCAGCATAATTTAAAGAAGTTAGGCTTTATTTCACTTAAAAACCACTGTAGAATAGTGATATTTTAAAAAATTAAAAGAACAGTTTTCTATTCCCTCTTTTCTGTTTAAACATTTGAGGAGGAAATCTTTAAGAAAGTTATTTATTTTCACTTTTTACTAAATCACTTTCAGAACTTGAACGTTCAGGACTCTCAAAATCTTCTAATCCCAGATATAGTATTCTTGGGTTCTTATTCCAAATTTTGCTGTCTCCAGTCCTTCTATGGAAGTGGGTGGGCTATAGATTATAAATAAATTCCAAATTTTGAGGGATAAATTAGTCTTCTGACCGATGTGTAAATTACAGCTTAATCTTTATTTTTCTCCTCAGCTCAGTTTTAAGAATAATGTTTTCGCCAACATATCTGCAGTACTCT